ACCAATGACGTTATTCACAGAAATAGACAAAGCAATACTGACATACATATGAAACAACAGAAGACCCTGAATAGCCAATGCAGTCCTGAGCAAAAGAAATAAACCTGGAGGCATAACATTTCCAATTTCAAATTATATAAACAAAGCTATCGTAACAGCCTGGTACTGACATAAAAACAGACACTTGGATCAATAGAACAGAATCACAAACCCAGGAATTAACCCACATACTTACATCCAATTGATCTTTCGCTAAGGCAACAAGAACATACAATGGGGGGACAACTGCCTTTTCAATAAATGGTGCTGGGAAAATTGGACTTCTATATGCAGAAGAATGAAACTGAACCTGTGGCTGTCTCCATATACCAAAATCAACTCAAAATGAATTAGGGACTTAAATATAAGATCCAAAACCATAAAATTACTAAAAGAAAACACAGGGAAAACACTCCAGGAAGTAGGACTGGTCAAAAACTTTATGACTAAGGCCCAAAAGAACAAGCAACAGAAGAAAAAATAAACAAATGAGACTATATCAAAGTAAAAACCTTCCACAAAGCAAAGGAAACAATCAACAGAGCAGAAAGGCAACTTATGGAATGGGAGAAAATATTTGTAAACTCTACATCCAACAAGGGACTAATAGACAGAATATATAAGAAACTCAAACAACTATACAGCAAAAAAACAAAACAAAAACCCTCCAATTAAAAAGGGGGTAATCGAGATGAATAGATATTTTTTCACAGGGAGATGTACAAATGGCCAATAGGTACATGACAAAATGCTCAGCATCACTAATCATCAGTGAAATGCAAATCAAAACCACCTGAGTTATCATCTTATTCCAGTTTGGCCATTATGAAAAAGACTGAGAATAACAAATGCTGACAAGGATGTGGGGAAAAGGCAACTCTTCTACACTGTTGGTGGCACTGCAAATTAGTGCAGCCATTATGGAAAACAATATGGAGGTTTCTCAAACAACTACAGATAGAACTACCATATGATCCAGCAATCCCACCACTGGGTATATATTCAGAGGAAAGGAAATCATCATGTCAAAGGTATATCTGTACTTCCATGTTCATTGCAGCTCTTTTTAGCCAAAATATGGAGCCAATCTAAATGTCTATCGACGGATGCCTGGATAAGGAAAATGTGGTATATATACTCAATGGAATACTACTCAGCCATAAAAAAGAAGGAAATTCTGCCATTTACAGCAACATGGATGAATGTGGAGAAAATTATTTGACGTGAAATAAGCCAGACACAGAAAGAAAAATACTGCATGATCTCACTCATTAGTGGGTGTTAAGAAAGAACAGAAGAAAAAAAGAAAGATAGAAAGAAAGATGGATAGGCAGGAAGGAAGGAAGGAAAAGGCCACAGTAATACATTGATCTTTCAGAAGGAGAGAACAAAGCTAAGGATATTAGAGATGGGTGGAAGGAGGGAGGGAAATTGGGAAGTGATAGGTCAGGTGGAGGTAATGGGGAAAGATTATGATTTGTAATGATGAATATGCTAATAGTTATAAAAATGAAAAGAAAGAAAGAAAGAAAGAGCTACTAGAGGGCTAAGAATTTGCCCTATTTGCACGCTAACAAGCTAGCCTGGTATTTTTTGATGGAAGCTGGTGGAAGAGTCAAAACTTGAGGATCAAAAATAAAGCACTCTATTACTCACAGCAAAAGCAAAAGTCGATGTTGGTTTGCATCGACTCCTCGGGTTCCCTGAGCCCCATGGTGTGAGATAGGTGAGGCTCAGGTCGATGCTATCACACTGTGAGTTTGTGCAGAATCTGAGGGACACTGAACTTGAGGAATCTGCCTCTCATATATAAGTGGAAGCAGGCTTGCCCTTTGTCCTGGGGGAGATGTTACCTTATTCTTCAAGGATTCCCACTGGAGACACAACCCTCAGAGATGGCCTGGGTACAGAGCAGAGCAGTCAGGGCCTTGCACTGTTGGCATACCCAGCAAGTGCAATGATGCTCAGGTCTATGGTGGGCACCCCTGCAAGCAGAAATATAAGGAACATAGAAAATCATAAAGTACTGACTTAGGAGAAATAGAAAGTGAAAAAGAAGAATTTACCATCTAAAATACATGAACAATGATATTTAAAGACTGAAAAAAGTGACTTTTTGATAAAGAAAAAAATTCAATATACAGATAATAGAAGCTCAAAAAATAAATAAATAAAATAAAACCACCCAAAGGGAAAAAACAGAACAAATGCTAAAAATTTATAGCCATAATAAAACTTTTTTGAAAACAATTTGAAAAGTATTAAAACTCCACATTGTAACAGCACACTATGTACCTGAGGATATGAATTTAGAATTATCAAAATCAAGACATATTCTTGTAAAGGTACTGAACTTCAAAGAAAAAAATCGTTTGAGCTTTTAAGCCAAAAGAGCATACAACTTGTAAGGGACAGAAAATTGGTTAATTGTCAGACTCTTGTAAATGGAGTAATGTATTTGTAATATATAATGAAAGAATATGTGAACCAAAGAATTTGTGTTCAGTAGAACTCACTTTTAAGTGTAAAGAACATAAAATGTTTTGACATAACTGAATTTTAGAATTATTGTTTCCATAAGCCCTTCCTAAAGATCCATTGAAAAAAAGTTTCAGATAAACAAAATGATTAGAAAGACCTCGACATACGGGCTGGTGGTAAAGTTTAAATATAAACTACTAGTGGAACAAGGACTAAATGGAGATTAAAAGGCAGAGAGTATAGTATGTAATGGCAGTATGATTGGATAGCGTAGATATTATACTACATACTCTCTCTACATATATATACACAACATAAAAAATGTGGATGCTGTGGTTGAGTGCAGGGAGAATATAAACAAAATTTTAAAACAATTTAAGTAACCATAATTGGTGATGATCATATTAGTACTATTATACTGAGACTGTCAGGTGTTTAATGTGGGATAAAGCAAATGATTGATTATAAGATATTTTAATCAATCTAATTTTATTCTATTCCATACATGCTATGTTATAATTCATATACATATAATATTCTGTTACACATCTGATAATACATATATACACATATGTATAAATAATCCTAATTTTATTCTATCCTAATTCTCTGTCTCTGAGAATCAGGATTCTTAGTGGAAAATAAAGGAGATATAGTTGTAATATGAAGCTAAGTAGAAACTTTATAGTCCTGTATTTGAATTGGAAATAGCAATAGGGACTCAGCAGGTATTTGTAATTTATTTATCTATCTATTTATTCCCTGAAAAATCCTAAAAACAATGCCAAATGTGCACAAACAATTGCAAAGAACTACTGAGTTAAGATTCACTGTATCTTTATAAATCAGAGAGCTATTGTCTAATTCTCCTCCTTACTGATGTAATAACTTAAACCCTCATCAGCAACACATGACAGTGATTGTTTTATTCTCATTTTGCCAACACAGTGGTGTTATCAAATGTTTAGTTTTAATTTACATTACTCGAATATGGAGTAAGGCTCAGCATATTTCACATGTTTAACAAGCATTTTTGTTTCTTTTTCTGTGAAGTATATGTTATTTACTGCTTACATCCCTTTTGAATTAAATAGGGAGACTAGCCCTTAGTCTGTAATATGAGTTGCAAATTTTTTTTTTACTAATTGCTTATTTCTTATTTGTACTTTTCTTATAAATTAGTGGTTGCTTTTACTCCATACAGATTTTTTAAATGTAGCCAAACATATCGATCTTTTTATTTTATTGTTCTATGTTTTGCACCATATTTAGAAAGACATCCCCCAATCTATGCTATTTATACTATCTGGGTGGGAAAAGAGCTGAGGATAATGAAACTGGTTTTTATCTATTTTATTTGAAAATCTGCATAAGTAGCACAATATTTCAATTTGAAATGTAAAAATACTTGCTACTCACTGAACTGGGATTCTAGAGACTTGTTTTCACATTCTTATTTTGGTTCAAAAAAAAAAATCTGATCAACCTGGCTGCTCTGCAGAAAATGGACTGTAGGGATGCAATGGATGTGTGAAGACCATTATGAATTCGTCCCACAAATATTTATTGGGTGTTTCCTGTGTTCTAAGTTTCTAGATGCCAGGGATGCCATGATAAATGAAACAAATCCCTTGCTTTGATTTAGTGGAGGAGTCAAAAACTGAACAAATACACAGGTAAGGTCAGGTAGTGGGAACTGCTAAAAAACATAAAGTGGAAAAAAGGGTGGAGAACAGAGGTTGCCATTTTTGAGGTTAATCAGGAAACGCTGCTCTGTCTCAGGAGGTGACATTTGAGCAAAGACCTGAGTGAGCAAGGGGAAGGTGATAGAAAAGAAGGTTGGAGAAGTGGCCATTGCTCAGATTGGGGAAGACTTTATAGGCTGTGATAGGAGCCTTGAATTTTCTTTTAAATGCAATGAAAAGTTGTTGGAGGGTTTTGAGGAGAAGCATGACATCTCTAACTACAAAAAGTGCTCTGACTGCTTTATGGAGAAATAATTGTAAAGTTGCAAAAGTGAGCAGTCCACAAAATATGGCTGTTGCTTGGTCTGGTCAAGAGATAATGACAGACTGGCTTATGGTAATTGCAGTGGAGGTGGAGAATAATAAACTCATGTGAGGAGAAGTTAGTAGGTAGAATAGACTTGCTGTCAGATTCTTCTTTGCAGAAGGGGCACAGGGAGCTACAAAGAATGCCTCCCAGGTGTATGAAGACCTGCAACACTGAAGTAGGAGCAGGTTTGATGAATCAGGAAGATCACAATTTCATTTTCATTATGGGTCTTCAGCAAAAGAACGAGCACCCTGTTTGGAATGCTGTAAGGGAAGTCGAGATGATGGCTTGGCTCCGAGAACACTGAGGTACTGTTTGTCCCTGAAGTTTTATGATGACATGAGTTAGATAAATAGCCCAAGGACAGATCACAGGAGAACGACAAGCACCTTACACAAGAAGCTGTACATCCCAAAAGTTCCAGAATGTTTGTTCTGTCTCTGCTCGGCACAGTGTTTCTGATCTGCCCATATGGGGGTAAGTCCTAGAGATGAAGGAGCAGCTCATGTTTGGTTAAGAGGTGGACAAATGCAGAGAAAGGGGAAGTTTCCAAAATCATTTCCTGAACCTGTGGCAGATGTACCTGAGATTATGACAAGGAAGATTTTTCTTCTCTTCACAGGTGAACTTCGAGACCCTCTGAGAGGTACAACCACAGCTGGTCTAAAGTCCTTGGGAAACAGATCATTTGTGACATGTTTATGAGTAAACCTCCCCTCCTTCTTCAGAGAGAGCTGGAATCCATTCTTACTATAGAACCCTAGGAGTTTTACCTTCTCCCAGACCTGTTTAGTACATTTCTTGGAGTAAGGAGGCTAAAATCCCCTTCTTTGCTTCTTTTTACCCATTAGTGGACAAAATCATCAGGCTAGATAAGAAATTCTGAGCTCCTTAAATCACATACAACATTTGATTCATGTCTGTGTAGGTTATCTTTCACAAGATTATCAAAGGAGTCCATGGCCCAAGCAAGGTTGGGAACTACCAGGCAATAGTAAGCTCCTGTACAGAAACCCCTAGGCCCAGAGAGCCTTCTTCAGGCCATATCCTCTCAGCACCTTATTCTGTATCTGGCAGAGAGTGGAATGATGTGTTATCAATGCAGAAAATTTCATCTGGGTTTATGCTATGATGTCATGAAGTCCTGCAAACTGAAGCATAAACAGTCCTGTGCTACTGAGAACTTCTACACACTTACAAGTAAAGGTAATATGGGGGGTAGAGTGACTTCCTTCCTTGAGGAATAGTGGTATTCTTTTGCCCTCAGAGTGAGAGGCTGAATGGGATGGGAGAGGATGGGGTGGTTATGTACAGCAGATTGCAAAGACAAACTTTTCCTTAAGACAATACTGGATGAAGTAAAGGCTGATGCTCCATATAAAGTAGGGAATAAAATCCACTCTCTGTGTCAGCAATTAAAAGATGTGGTCTAGGAGCTTATTTGGGCCTATAGAAAAGTGAGTGAGAATCTGAAGACAGGTTATTTCTAAGAATACAGTACAGGGGAATGAGATCATTACAGCTGTGTTCTCTCTGTTTCACCTCCTCAGGGCAGAGCATGTATCATTATTCAAAACTGTCATGTATGACCAACTGTGAGGACATCAACTTCCTGGGTTTTGATAAGAGGACAGAGCTTATCTGTTGCAAGCATAGTAGCTACTGCAACCTCCCCGACGGCGTCTAGTTGTCCTGGATTTAGGGTAATTCATCAATCTATTATCCTGTTTACGTTTTCTTCAAAACCTTTATTTTTGCCCTCTTCCTCTAGCCAATGGTAGCGAGCGAGAAAACCAGCTGGCAGTGAAAAGAGAAGCAGTTGTAAGGAAAAATAGTGAAGGGAAGCTATCTCATTAATGATGGAGCACTAGACTGAATCTTCACAAATCCCTGTTGCTCATATCTGGCAGGGGGCTTGGTTTCCTCATGATGATTCTACTATGAATAAACTCAGACTTGATCATTTATTATCTCCTAAATATTATTTTCTCCTAAATAATCCGAAGTTTGTATTGAGAATTCTGTGACCAGACTCTCCTTATCTATGCCCACTCCTCTGAGTTGGGAATTAGCCCTGATTATTTCTGGCACTGTCCTTTTGCCCATGGGTTCTGGAGAGGACTAGCCATGTCCAAGGCTACCTGGCCAACCAGGGCCAATTCCACCCACACAGAATTGTCTCTCAAATCTTAGTTTCAGCAAGCTGAAATGTCCCCATTTTTTTCTTGATGCCATATCCCTACATCTGTCCAGTTGTTTTTTCTGTCCTGAGATTCCCCCAAGAGTGCTACTGGAGAAAGAACTGGCTCATGTTGCCAGCAAATTGGAAAGCTGGTGCTATTCCCAACTAGCTTTTACTATTTCTATGAAGAATGTCATTGGTATTTTGATGGGAATTACATTGAATCTGTAGATTGCTTTGGGTAGAATGGACATTTTCACAATGTTAATTCTTCCATCCAAGAGCATGGTATGTCTTTCCAGCTTTTTGTGTCCCCTTTAATTTCTTTCAATAGTGTTTTGTTGTTCTCATTATAGAGATCTTTCATCTCCTTGGTTAAATTGTTTCCTAGGTTTTGTTTTGTTTGTTTGTTTGTTTGTTCTTTTGGCTACATTGTAAATGGGCTTGCTTTCTTGATTTCTTTTTCTGCTAGTTCATTATTGCAGTATTAAAATGCTACTGATTTGGGGGTGTTAGTTTTGTATCTGGCAACATTATTGAAATTATTGATCAGCTCTAAAAGTTTTTTGGTAGTGTCTTTACATTGTTATCTATATAAGATCATGTCATCTGCAAACAGGGACAGTTTGATATTGCCCTTTCCAATCTGAATGCCCTTTATTTCTTTCTCTTGCCTGATTGCTTTGGCTGGTATTACCAATACTATGTTAAAAGGAGTGGTGAGAGTGGGCATCCTTGCCTTGTTCCTGTTCTTAAGGGAAAGGAATCATCCCATTCAAGATGATATTGGCAATTGGTTTGTCATATATTGCTTTTATTGTGTTGCAATAATATCTTCCTATAACCAATTTGTTGAGAGTCTTTTTCATGAAGTGATGTTGAATTTTGTCCAGCACTTTTTCTGCATCTATTGAGATAATCATATGGTTTTTGTCCTTGACTTTGTTGATGTGATGTATCACATTTATTGACTTTCATATGTTGAACTATCCTTGTATCCCTGGGATGAATCCCACTTGATCATGGTGTATAATTTTTTCAAAATGTTTCTGGATTCAGACTGCAAATATTTTGTTGAGGATTTTTGCATTTATGTTCATGAAGAATATAAGCCTGTAATTTCCATTTTTTTATTGTGTCTTTACCTGCTTTTGGTATCTGGCTGATGCTGGCCTCATAGAATGAGTTTGGGAGAATGGCTTCTGTTTTAATTTTTGGAATAGTTTGAGGAGAAGTGATATTATTTCTTCTTTAAAGGTTTTATGTAATTCAGCTGTAAAGCCATCTAGCCCTGGGCTTTTCTTTGTTGGAAGATTGCTGATTACTGCTTCAATTTCATTGCTTGTTATTGGTCTGTTCAGGCTTTCTATTTCTTCTTGGCTCAATCTTGGTAATTTGTATATGTTCAGAAATTTATCCATTTCCTCCATGTTTTCATGTTGGTTGGTGTACAGTTGTTTATAATAATCTCTAATGATTCTTTGTATTTCTGTGGAATCAGATGTAATGTCCCCCTTTTCATTTCTAATTTTTGTCATTTGTGTCTTTTCTCTTCATCTTCTTCTTCATTTTTTAACCCAGCTTTATCTATTTTATTTATCTTTCAGAAAAACAACATTTTGTTTCATCATTCTTTTGTATCATTTTGGGGGTTTCTACTTTATTTATTTCCATTCTGATCTTAATTATTTCAGTCTACTACTTATAGGATTGGATTGTTGTTTTTCTAGTTCTTTGAGGTGTAGCATTAGGTTGTTTATTTGAAGTCTTTCTATTCTTTTAATGTACATATTTATTTCATAAACTTCCCTCTTAGTACTTCTTGGGCAGTATCCAACAGGTTTTGGTATGATGTGTCTTTATTTTGTTAGTTTCAAGGATTTTTTGATTTCCTGTTTACTTTCTTCTTTCCCATAAGTCATTCAGGAGCCTGTTGTTTAGTTTCCATTTACATGTATAGTTTGTAGATTTTTGCTACTTATTGATTTCCAGTTTTAATCTATTGTAGTCTGAAAGGATAGTTGGAATAATTTCAAATTTTTTAAATTATTTGAAACTTCATTTGTGACCTAGCATGTGATCTATTCTGGAGAATGTTCCATGTGCTGATGAGAAGAATGTGTTTTCTGTAGTTGCTGCATGAAAAGTTCTGCAGATATCTGCCAGGTCCAGTCGATCTAAGGTGTAGTTTAAATCCTGTTTTTCTATGTTGATCTGTTGCCTGGAAGATCTGTCCAATGCTGAGAGAGGGGTGTTCAGGTCACCCAGTATGATTGTATTAGGGTCTATCTCTTTTTTTAAGAATAGGAATGTTTGCTTTACATATCTGTGTGCTCCAGTGTTGGGTGCATACATATTTATGATTGCTATGTTTTTATCATTATATACTGGCCCTCTTTGTCTCTTTTTATGGTTTTTGGTTTAACATCTATTTTATCCAATATAAGAATAGCTACTCCTGCTCATTTTTGGTGTCTATTTGCATGGTATATCATTTATTTATCCCTTCACTTTTAGTCTCTGTGTGTCTTTATAGGTAAGGTGGGTCTCTTGAAGACAGCATATGGTTGAGTCTAGCTTTTTAATCCAATCAGTCAGCCTGTGTCTTTTGAATGGTGAGTTTAATCCATTTCCATTTTGGGTTGTTATTGAAAAGTATTGCTTTACTTCTGTCATTTTGCTTTTTTTAAAAAAAAATGTTTTAAATATCATTTGTCCCTTTCTTCCCCTTTTATTTTTGAGGCGACATGATTTAGCTTCTTTCTCTTTCTCATTTGCATTTTGGTTTTAATGGTGGGTATTACTCTTTCTTGTGAATCTGTGATATTGATTATCATTTTTCAGCTTATGGATGCATGACTCCTTTGAGAATTTCTTGCATGGCTTCTTGTGTGATAGTGAACTCCCATAGTTTTTGTTTGCCTGAGAAATACACTATTTCTCCCTCATTTGTGAAGGGTAACTTTGCTGGGTATAGAATTGGTTGGCAATTTTTTTCTTTTAGTATTTTGAATATATCATCTGTATTAGTCCATTTCTGTTGCTTATACCAAAATACATAGAACTGGGTAATTTGTAAAAGCCTATAAGACCTAACACCATGTGAACACCACTAAGGCTTCTGGCTTGAATCTTTTAAAGCTGTGGGTCCAGCCACACCTGGAGCCAATTTAGCCATGGTTGGAGAAGCTGGAGTGCTGGTGCTGGAAGCAGCTTCTCAAGGTGGCCCTGGGCAGTGAGCCCAAGGAAGACACCTCAGGCCTGTTCCCCAAGACCATTCTATCTCCCTACACCTTTGGGCCTGAAATAGAAGGGTTGGTCCCAGAGGCTACAGCAATGTCTTCAGGGCCTTTCTCCCCTTTTCTTGATAATCCCATTCTTTTGTATTAATCTTCTTAGTACATTGAATTTTTCTTCTCAAAATGCTCTCTGCTTCTCTATCACATGGTCAAGCTGCAAATTTTCCAAATCTTTACACTCTTCATGCTATTTAAATTCTGGCTTTATGTCATGCCTTTGTCAACAAAACTCAGTGTAGGCTGTTACAAGTAGCCATGCAACTTCCTTAATGCTTTGCTGCTTAGAAATTTCTTCTGCCAAATACTCTGGTTCACAACTCCTACTCCAACTTCCACAAAGTCCTAGGGCATGGACAGAATGCAGTCAAATTCCTTGCCAGTTCATAGCAAGGATGGTCTTTGCCCCAGTTGCCAATAAACTCCTTCTTATTTCTATCTGAGACTTAGAATGGTCTTTTCAATCCATATTTCCATAAACATTCTGGTCACCACCATTTAACCAGTCTCTAAAACATTCCAAACTTTCCCTGTTTTTCTTATCTTCTATACTCTCACCAGCATCTAGGATTTTTCTAGCCTGTTCCTCCAAATTCCTCCAGCCTTTGCCCATTACCCAGTTCCAAAGTTGCTTCCACCTTCTCACGTGTTTGTTATAAGCAACACTTCACCTCTCTGGTACCAATTTTCCATATAAGTCCATTCCTTCTGCATATAACAAAATACACAGAACTGGGTAATTCGTCAGAAATTGAAATTTATTGTTTGCAGTTTCTGAAGCTGGAGAGTCCAAAGTCCATCTGGTGGTGGAGACAGTGACCCACGTGTTTCACAAGATGGTGGAAGCAGAGGAGAGGAGGGGAGAGAGAGAGAGAGAGAGAGATCATCCCATTTTCTTCTGGTCGGTAATGCTTCTTCTGAGAAGTGTGCTGTTAGTCTGATGGGGGCTATCTTATAGTTGACTTGATGCTTTTCTCTTTCTGATTTTAAAATTCTCTCTTTATCTTTGAGCTTTTCCAGTTTTACTATAATGAATCTTGGAGTGGATATTTTTGGATTGAATCTATTTGGGGATCTTTGGGCTTCCTGGAACTGAAGGTCTGTGTCTCTCCCTATACCTTAGAAGTTTTCTTTTATTATTTCCTTGAATAGGTTTTCAATGACTTTTCCTTTCTCCTCCCCTTCTGGAATACCCATGATTCAGATGAG